CATATCTGCTTGTAACTTTCAACACAGACGTATCTTACTTAGAAGAATATTCGGTTATCACGGGAATGTTGGTGCCAACTTTATACGCGACAAGTTGAGACAATAGCTTTGGAATATGTTATAAATCGCTTAGAAACCCACAAGTTGAAGAATTAAACACTTCTGTGACATTTGAGAATCTTTATTGTGGAAACGTTTCTCAAGTCACTGGCTTCCTCAGTCAGGTACAAAGACGAATGGTGGAAGATGAAAAGAATTGTGAGGTAATCAGTTCTGTTGCTTGAGTCTGTATGTTCAGTCCATCAAACATAATGCATAATATTTCTCTAGTTTAGGGATTTCTAAACTAGAGACATATTATTATTCCTAAACTAGAGACATATTATTATTCCTAAACTAGAGACATATTTATTAGAAAACGTTTCGGCCCCAGGACCGAAACGTATGCTAATATTATTAACATTAGTGTCATTACTCCAGTTCACTGAGGATTTACATTTTTTCAAGGGATTTCGATTTCTTCTTGGAGGATCCATAACGATTGTTTTTTTTTTTTTAAGACCTGTCACTTCTGATGCTTCAACTTATATCAAGATCAACCTTAATGCCCTATTAATAGTTAAAAAAAAAATTCTTTCTATTTCGCACTTTCTTTTTTATCTCCAGCAGTGACACCTTTTCGGTCGTGAAGACGCTCTGGAATATTATCCTGTGAACTTTACGCAAAACCATTTTTTATTCGGTGATCAGTCGCTGTTTTTGATAAGTATGATCTAAAGTGACTTTCACTCTACATATTATTAACATTAGTGAAGGGAAGAGACGTACATGGGACAACGTTTCGCCCCTTATACAGCGTTTTCACTTGAAATGGTAAAAGACTACAGTGGGTGATATGATGTCCTCTTAATAACTTGCTCTGTGACGTGTTTTCTATTAGTGTTTGCTAACGAGGAGAATAAACGAAAATAATAAGAGCAAAAAGGAGATACAGACATAGAAATACACAGCAAGTACAAGTCTTGTACAGACTTCAAGAATGGGCAGACAAGAAGTTACTGAAACTCAATCAAAAAAAAAACAAAAATTAAGAATGAACCCGGAGGAAGCATTACACTCAGAATAAAATATACAACATTAAGGACACATGCGAGGATGTATAATTTTAAGAGCCATTAGAAACCCTAACAAGTATCCCTTGAGAATACTGTAAAACACATATTTCATATCTGTTATAAATACGCAGCGGTATACCTGGAGAGGGTTCCGGGAGTCAACGCCAACGCGGCCCGGTCTGAGACCAGGCGGTGTTTAATAAACAGAGGAAGTTTGCAACTTGATTGGTCCAAAAGCTAGAAGATTTAAACATAGCAACAATTTGAAGAGAAAAGATCATGGAAAGATAAGATAACACAATGCCAAAACTTTTTTAAGAATTGAAAGAATGAACAGGAAAAAAAAGTTTGACGTGAGAGACCCAGAGGATAGACAGCATCAGTGGAAGCTTGGAAAATAAAAAGCAAATGAGTCAGATAGAAGTTCAGAAATACGTTTTTCACCTTGTTATTAATAAGTAAATGGAATGAGTTGCATGAATATATAGCAGAAACAAACTATATTCTCATTTTGAGGAGCTAGCATGATGGCGCCCAAGAGGCGAACACTAACTCGAGGAGCACAACCCGTTAAGAGCAAATATGTGTATACACACTTTGGTGATGCGCAACTATGACCATAATTTTGAAAGGGGTGGACTGGTAAGCAGTGGAAGGCCTCGGTCAGATGATCAAAAGCTCCAACGGCGGATCATCATCTGAGTAAGACCCGCGTCAGGAACCACTTGTCCTGTTTCCTGACGAACCTTACCTAACCTATTAACATCACACCACACCTAACACCTGAACTCAATATAACCGTATAACGTTGCTGGCGTACACTAACTTGCCAAACTTATAAATGGAATCCGAAAAGCTAAACAAAGGAGTGAACAGAACCACTCACTACACAACAGTGAAAATAGGAAATAAAACCTGAGCGTTTTCATGTGCTTATACGCATTAAAGCGCCCAGGTTTTATTTCCCAATTTCAGTCGTATTTTGCTCATGTTTGCAGTCACGCGTTTTATTGTGATTTCTTCCACTATGCAACAAATTTAGGCCAGTTCTGGAACACGCAGCGCCACCGTATAAATACCACTAAGTAAAAATGAAAACGCTAAGAATATAAATAAGAGGAAAAGAAACCACGGAACGGGTGTTGTTTGAACCCCTGGTGTTCGAACCTCACCCGTTCCGTGGTCTGTTTGCAATCGTGTTAATAAGATTTCGTGAATTATAAAAGAGAAAGAGTCGTGACGAGGGACGTAAGGAGCAAAAATTTACGGAGACAGACTTAACGAACCAAATCTTACAATACTAGAAAAATGGTGAAAACGAAGGAAGACAAGCGCAACATATGGATACTTTGAAGTGTAAACATGGAATAATTTAGAGACAACAGATAATAAAGTACAATATATCCATATAACGTCAGTCAACAATAAATCAAGAAGTAAATACAGAACCGAAAGTATAAGAACATGAAAGTTGACGACATGTAGATGACAACTTATCAAATGTATGAGCGGAAGACAGAAGGATTCAAGCCACGTGCTTTCAACAGGTCAGGACCTCTCTCTCTCAGGCAACTCGGGGTATATAAGAGGTGAGAAACAAAGAGAATAACACCTTTTGCTTCAGGAGTGCCAGGAGAATGAGAGGGGTGAGCTTTACCGTGCCTTATCTGTTGTCCAACACTAACGGGAACAAAGACGTTATTCAAATTCAAGTTCAAATTCAAATTCAAAGTTTATTCTCTATAATGATTACAATGTTGAATTTACAGAATTTGGTTGTTGTGTGGTTTACACGTAGTTAAATAATGATTACAGAGTGTACCACTAGAACGCCTAGCATGACTAGGCATTTCGGCAGACTATTCAAAGTTGTTCCACTTTACTTACAGATACAAAGCGTTATTTGTAATTTGTTATTATACTTGTATATCACAGAGTTCTGATTTTTGCAATACACACACACACGTATTAGAGAGTTCTGTCTTATCACCACATACACTTAATACTGACTGACAACCTCAAATTCTACGACTTCAAGGGTGATGGACTGATTACATCGTCTTCACATCTCTACTGTTCCTGCCTACTTTCTGTATTCGACTAAAGAAGCCTACTGTGTAGGCGAAACGTTTCAGAATAAAGTTGTCTAACTGTTGCATATGTGTCTTACCTAACAACACACACTTAATACTATTAACTACCACACACTCGCTTGGCAGTACTATTGAGGACCTCACACACACAAACACACACACACACACACACACACACACACACACACACACACACACACACACACACACACACACACACACACACACACACACACACACACACACACACGTTATTCATTTAAAATGAGATCTTGGATTAATATCTATGTCAGTAAGTGAATGTATACGCTATAAATGTTTATATATACATATATACATTAGTAAACGAAGTAGATGTGTAATTTCACGAAGCGACCAAATATTCTTAAACATCATTACGTTGGTCATTATCCTTACTGGATGGTATATTATTTTTAACTTCCTTTGAGAAACTGAGTTTCAAATTAAATCTGTTACAAGTTGTATGATTCGCAAATTTCGCGTAAGTTAGAATATTAGTCAAAAAAAAAAATGCAATGCGCGCTGAAAAATCGAAATACGCAACGTTAAAAATTTATTTGCTGGCAAAATTCGAAATGGAATGAACAGAGTAAAATTGCCACTTGATCACATTGCTGACGAGCCCTCGTAAGAATGAATGGTATTTAATCTTATGTAAATACTTTAAAGAACACAATGGCACAATACCTTGACTGGAACAGTGCACAAATAAGCCGCATATAAGGAAAGGAAACTGATAGCGACGTATCAGTCCGACTTGAACCATTAACTAGTCACACACTGTATGACTTAATGGTTCAAGTCAGACCGAAACGTCGGCATCCTAAATTTTTATATCCGGGTTACCTGTGTCTTCTGGGGGGGATATTCATCACGATTCTTAGCTTGTGAGGGATATTCATCACGATTCTTAGCTTGTGAGGGATATTCATCACGATTCTTAGCTTGTGAGGGATATTCATCACGATTCTTAGCTTGTGAGGGATATTCATCACGATTCTTAGCTTGTGAGGGATATTCATCACGATTCTTAGCTTGTGAGGGATATTCATCACGATTCTTAGCTTGTGAGGGATATTCATCACGATTCTTAGCTTGTGAGGGATATTCATCACGATTCTTAGCTTGAGGGATATTCAATACGATTCTAAGCTTGTGTTGGACAAGTGTCCTCAGCATTGTGGTGACACAAAACTGTCAGATTTACTCTCAGCGACTATTTTTGAAAGAAAATGAGGTAGTCAGTGTTATGGGAGAAAATGTTTTCACCTGTAACTATATATATTTATGTGTTACAGCTGATATTGTTGTTGCTGGGCCTGACAGTGGTGTGTGGCGCTCCCCAGTACTCCATTAACCCTCCTCCCCCACCCCCACCACGTCTACCCCCACCGCTCCCACCTCCACCACCCCCTCCTCCAACCCCATCACCACCTCCTCCACCTCCACCACCACCTCCTCCACCCCCACCACCAACCCCACCATCAAAATACGACCCACCTCCACCTCCTCCACCACCACCTCCTCCACCCCCACCACCGCCTCCTCCACCCCCACCACCGCCTCCTCCACCCCCACCACCACCTCCTCCACCCCCACCACCGAAATACGGCCCACCTCCTCCACCCCCACCACCGAAATACGGCCCACCTCCTCCACCCCCACCACCGAAATACGGCCCACCTCCTCCACCCCCACCTCCTCCACCCCCACCCCCTCCTCCACCCCCGCCCCCCTCCCCACCCCACCCCCTCCTCCACCCCCGCCCCCTCCTCCACCCCCACCTACAGTATACGGCCAACCTCCACCAGCCCCACATCCTCCACAATCACCACGTCATGATGCCCCACCATCACTCCCAGCAAAACCAGCAGTGGAGATCATAACTGAGGAGCGTGTGGGACCTGACGCACAGGGTAACTACAACTTTATCTTCGAGAGTAGTGACGGCATCAGTCGTAAGGAACAAGGAGCTCCCCAGGGCGAGTCTGGCGCAGTGGCGACTCAAGGAGAATGGTCGTAAGTATTACTACCTCAACCTCTCACTCTAGCAGTCATGATCTCAACTATATATATATATATATATATATATATATATATATATATATATATATATATATATATATATATATATATATATATATATTATCACACTGGCCGATTCCCACCAAGGCAGGATGGCCCGAAAAAGAAAAACTTTCACCATCATTCACTCCATCACTGTCTTGCCAGAAGGGTGCTTTACACTACAGTTTTTAAACTGCAACATTAACACCCCTCCTTCAGAGTGCTAATGTTGCAGTTTAAAAACTGTATATATATATATATATATATATATATATATATATATATATATATATATATATATATATATATATGTCGTGCCGAATATGTAAAACTGGTCAATTAACAAGAACTCATTTAAAATTAAGACCTTTCTAAAATTTTCTCTTATACGTTTAAAGATATATTTTTTTCATTAATGTTAATGCAAAATTTTTAATTTTGCTCCAAAAGAATCTTAGAAAACTTACCTTACCTTATTATAACAAGAACAATTTATTTTAGCCTAACCCAACTAAATATATTTTAGATTTGTTTACAATAATTTAAAACTAAACAAACACAGTGAAATATATTTTTTTCGTTAGGTTCAGAATGATTTTGGCGAAATTATTGCATACACAAATTTTCGCTTGTCCTATATGGCAAGATGAGTGTTGCTATTTAAGCCAAGATCTCAAGTTCTGCCTATTCGGCACGACATATACAAATATCGTCAAATAATAAATTCTCTCGTCCTTTCCTCACGTACAGGTTTACCTTCCCTGATGGCACTCCTGGTCAGTTCTCCTTCGTTGCTGACGGTGAAGGCTTCAAAGTACAATCTGACCTGTTGCCACAGGCCCCACCGCTGCCTCCTCACGCTGTAGCCCAGATCGAGGCAGCTCGACTGGAGGATGAAGCTGCAGCAGCTGCTGCTGCCAATCAAGCTGTAGCTACACCCTAGCCAGCCTATGCTACTCAAATGTCTTTCTCACTTTGTCTAAAGTAGAACCCGAATTTTTTTTGCGTAGGTTTTGGTACGTGTTTAGGAAATTGACATAAAGACCGTGGACATTAGCTCGGCAATAACCATTTCAAAACACTTGACTCGTCATTTATCAGTATTATTCATTATTCACAGTGTTTCGATTACGGATTGTATTTTTACCTGTTTTATGCAGCTGAATTCTATGACCATGATTTTCTTGATATCAGGATTTCTCTTACAACTACGCTGCCTAACATTATAAATGCTATAGGTGACTTAGTTCCCACCTAAGACATTATTAGTAACGCCGGCGCCGATCTGAGATCTTAGTTACTGAGTTCCTGCTTTGGAATCTAATTGAAAACTTCATTAGTTGGCTGCTTCCTCAATGCTTATGACTTTAATTATTTACTGCCCTATTTATCGTAATATTCGTCAGGACAGTCCTCACACGGGTCTATCTGTATCGACGACCAGTTTTTTGTGGACTAGACTGACTCACAAGTGAGTACCATCTAGGAATGAGCAGGAAAGTGGGGATAGGAGAAGAATAGGAGATAGGAAAGTTTGTAGTGTATAGAAAAGAGAGTCGGAGCTAGACCCAGCGAAGGCGTTGTGTGGCATCAGTAGGACATGATTACTCAGGCTTGGGAGGACAACAATTGCTACCACCTGCAGCTCACAAGACTGCCATTCCCACGAGCCCCTTTGGGGCGGGGCAGATGGCAGACCAGAGGCCTAGCTTCTCCCTACGAGCCCCGTGAGGGCGGGGAATGTGGCTAGGCCTGGGGACAGTTTGTCCCAAAGATGAGGGGGTACTTGCACCTCCTCCCATGGGAGACTTAGGTCTCGAGATACTCCCCAGATAGGGAGCCAAGGCCGGGTCGCCACTACTTGGAAAAGACCCGGGCCGGGAGAATACCGGCGAATAAGAAAAAAAAACAAAGCTGACAGCCTAGCGCGTTTTCGTAGTGTCTTCATGGTAGTAACAGTCGTGAATCCTGAGTGAATCCTGTCGGTATTATATACAATTCTTGTACTACTACTACTACTACTACTACTACTACTACTACTACTACTACTACTACTACTACTACCACCACCTCTTCTTGCCTATATATAGCCGTCCTGCTCCACCTCTGTTAGTGTGACTTTGTCAATGGTCCAAGTCGGACCGAAACGTCGTCGTAAGCTTCTCTCTTTCATGTGCGGGTTATTTGTGTATAATCCTGAGTGCTTTCAATACTTCCTCTTTCGCAATAAAAACACTTATACTTACACAGCTTTTACATTTTACATGATTATTTTTTTCCTCACTGTGAGCATTGTCAGTCCAATGACAAAGGTGGGATTGGAACTAAGCATTTTCTAATGCAGTAATCTAGTGTTGCAAAAGTCTATTTACTACGATATGTTTCCATTCATGTACCAGTTTCCTGTAAATACTTGTCTTCAGCCCCTGCTGCTTGTGATGTAAGTCATCAGTCTCAACTTTCTTCAATATCTAGTTATGTTTCAGCTGCCATTGGTCATAACGCGTCCATTGCCTAGAAGTCATAGATCTTAGTTTTGTTTTTAATTCCTGTTTCCTTTAATAAATCTAGCTGTTTTCAGTATCTAGACAAGTGAAATTTCATGAACATTCAGGTCTAGTTTCCTTCCATTCTAGATGATTTTCAAAAACAATGACTGCAACTGCTACTAGAACCAATGGAGGCTTCAGACCCGGAGCTAAATAATTTAATCTACATAATATGTATGGAGCTGTAATATTATAATACAAATAAATGAATTTAACAGTTATGTGAGTGATTAATTATCACTTCAACCACGAATACAAATTGAGAAGGCTACGTAAGATTGGCATATATATATATATATATATATATATATATATATATATATATATATATATATATATATATATATATAAATATATATATATATATATACATACATACATACATACATATATATATATATATATATATATATATATATATATATATATATATATATATATATATATATATATATATATATATATATATATATATATATATATAGACAGAGATCACAGTCGGCAAGATTCGAAGCCATGTCAGAGAGGGCTGACAGATGACCACTCGGCCACAGATGCCTCAAAAACTGGGCAGCCTAGTTTACAAGCCATGGTAAAACACCTAGCTCTGCTGGGTGCTTGATTCTTGTAGAATTTTTTTTTCTTTATTTTATTTAAAACACACATTGCAATAAATAAATAAAAACATACAGTGTCAGATATTTCACATACAAAAACAATTATGTCCTCATAATCAAAACACACTACACGTGTTACATTGCCTTCAGAAAATTTCCTCTTCACATGACTCAGTACAACCCCCAACACGTGTGTGAAAAACAACATTACACAATATTATACCCGGCATCAATCACATCATTTCAAGTTAAGAACATAAGAACATAAGAACGAAGGAACACTGCAGAAGGCCTACTGGCCCATGCGAGGCAGGTCCAAGTCTCCTACCGGCTTAAGCCAATGCACCCAACCTAGTCAGGTCAGGTCACATTGACTTAAGGGAGGAACACGGCAACCGACCTGGTAGCACAAGCTATCAGGTCCAACTCACACCCACCCACATCCACTCATGTATTTATCCAACCTATTTTTAAAGCTACACAACGTTCTGGCCTCTATAACTGTACTCGGGAGTTTGTTCCACTCATCCACAACTCTATTACCAAACCAGTACTTTCCTATATCCTTCCTGAATCTGAATTTTTCCAACTTAAAACCATTGCTGCGAGTCCTGTCTAGGCTAGATATTTTCAGCACACTATTTACATCCCCTTTATTTATTCCTGTCTTCCATTTATACACCTCAATCATATCCCCCCTAATTCTACGTCTTTCTAGAGAGTGCAGTTTCAGGGCCCTTAGTCTATCCTCATAAGGAAGGTTTCTGATACATGGGATCAACTTTGTCATCCTCCTTTGTACATTTTCCAGAGAATTTATATCCATCCTGTAATACGGTGACCAAAACTGTGCAGCATAATCTAAATGAGGCCTAACCAAGGATGTATAGAGTTGAAGAACAACCTGAGGACTCCTATTATTTATGCTTCTTGATATGAAGCCAAGGATTCTATTAGCTTTATTGCGAACACTTATGCACTGTTGTGTTGGTTTCAGATTACTGCTAACCAGAACTCCTAAATCTTTTTCGCAATCCGTAATATTAAGATCTACATTATTTAGTTTATATGTGGCATGGTTATTGTCCTGTCCAACATTTAGAACTTTGCTTTTGTCTATATTAAACTGCATCTGCCACTTCTCCGACCACTGCATCAGTCTATTCAAATCTTCCTGGAGTGCTCGAATGTCCTCGTCAGAATGAATTCGACGGCCTATTTTGGTGTCATCGGCAAACTTGCCGATGTCGCTCTTTATGCCCTCATCTATGTCGTTTATGTGGATTGTGAACAGCAGGGGGCCCAACACTGACCCCTGTGGAACACCGCTCGTAACGCTTCCCCACTCTGATTTCTCCCCATTTATGCAAACTCTCTGCTGCCTATTTGTCAACCATGCCTCTATCCAGGAAAAAATTTCTCCTCCTATTCCATGTGCTTTAATTTTCCTCAATAGTCTCTGATGTGGGACCCTGTCAAAAGCCTTACTGAAGTCCATATACACAATATCATATTCATTACCATGATCTACCTCCTCAAATACCTTAGTGAAAAAAGTTAATAAATTCGTAAGGCAGGAACGCCCCATGCTGAGATTCGTTGATTAATTTATGCTTTTCAAGGTGGCTACGAACTGCCTCGGCAATTATTGATTCCATAAATTTTCCCACTATGGAGGTTAGGCTTATTGGTCTATAGTTCGAAGCTAAAGACCTGTCACCTGTTTTGAAAATAGGTATCACATTTGCCATTTTTCACTTATCTGGCACCATGCCCGTTTGTAGTGATATGTTGAAAAGATTAGCCAAAGGTGTGCTAAGCTCCTCTTTACATTCCTTTAGAACCCTTGCATACAGTTCATCAGGGCCTGGGGATTTGTTAGGTTTTAATTTATCTATTTGCCTAAGGACCATGTCACTCGTGACCCTAATCGTGCACAGTTTATTCTCGTCCTGTTCTACATAATTTATCATTACTGGAATATCGCTGGTATCCTCCTGTGTAAAAACTGAGAGGAAGTATGTTTTAAAAATTCTACACATTTCCTTATCACTGTCAGTGAGCTGACCCGAGGAACTTTTGAGTGGGCCTATCTTGTCCCTGATCTTACTTCTGTATACCTGAAAGAATCCTTTTGGGTTAGTCTTCGATTCTCTTGCAACTTTAACCTCATAATCTCTTTTTGCTTTTCTAATTCCCTTTTTTATTTATCTCTTTAACTGAATATATCGATTTCTTAATTGCCCCTCTCCTCTTTTGATTTGCCTATATATGCCTCTCTTTTGACCAATCAGATATTTTAATCTATTGTTCATCCATTTAGGATCATTTTTGTTTGATCTGATTTCCCTATTTGGAACATAATTTGACTGAGCAGCTAGAACTATGCCCTGGAAAGCATCATATCGGCAACCATCACCACCTACCTGACCCTTTGTCAGGTCATTCCAGTTCAGCCCACCTAAGTAATTTTTCAGTCCTATGAAATCAGCCAAGCGAAAGTCAGGGACGGAGACTTGATTGCCATTATTAGGGGAATTCCATGATATATTAAAACTGAGTGATTTGTGATCACTCTCCCCAAGCTCATCATTAACCTCAAGATTATTAATTAGTGTTTCCCTACTGGCAAGAACCAAGTCAAGGAGGTTATTTCCCCTAGTAGGCTCTGTCACAAACTGTTTTAAAAAACAATCCTGGATCGTATCAAGAAAGTCACCTGACTCTAAATTTCCTGTCAAATTGCTCCAGTCAATCTGTCTATAGTTGAAATCTCCCATTAGCACAACATTTTCGTATGTAGATGCCTTACGAATTTCGTCCCATAGAAGTTTACTGCACTCCCTATCAAGATTTGGGGCCCTGTAAATCACATTAGAAGCTGATGCTTCTAATTTAATATCTTGTCTAACACAACAATTTAAATTGTCTCTGACAAACATCGCTACTCCACCACCTTTCCTGTTGACCCTGTCAGTGTGGAATAATTTATAGCCTTGTATGTGACATTCAGAGGGCATCTCTCTATCTTTCAGATTGAGCCAGGTCTCTGTTATAGCAATAATATCTATGTTTCCTGCACTTGCAATTAATCTTAGCTCATCTATCTTATTTCTTACACTCCTGCTATTAGTATAGTAAACCTTAAGGGAGCTAGTCCCTTGCTGCCCTCTGCTGTCCCCCTTTGTTTGCTGACCTGATCTATTGTCTTTATTTATAACTTCATGCTGAATGCCTTTTATACATTTACTGTTTCCAACCCTAGTGTTGCAACCTGCTTGTTTCCCACACACACCCATACCTCTATCTTTCATCAGTTTAAAATCATAGGCATTTCACCAATGGCCTTCTCAATCGAGTCTGCAAGTGCTACCACCCCTGCCCCAGAGAGATGTACCTCATCCCTTGCATACATATCATGTTTGCCATAAAAGTTGTTCCAGTTGTCAATGAATGGGATTGCAAGTTCCTTGCAGTATCTGTCTAGCCAGCAATTTACACCAATTGCCCTAGACAACCATTCATTTCCTACTCCCCTTCTAGGCAAGATGCTACATATGATTGGGATCCCTCCCTTAGACTTAATGAAATCTATAGCTGACCTGTACTTATCTAGCAGCTCTTCTCTCCTACCCTTCCCAATATCATTTCCACCAGCACTGAGACAGATAATGGGCTTGTTCCCATTACCTGACATGATATTATCCAGCCTGTTGACTATGTCCCCAACACCAGCTCCAGGGAAGCACACTCTATCTCTCATCTTCTTATTCCTATTACAAAAAGCACGGTCAATATATCTTACCTGAGAGTCACCAACCACAAGAATGCGCTTACCTCCATTAGCAGGGGCAGTAGTACCCTTACCTTCACTGGCCACTGAAGTACATTCATCCTGAAGAACAGAGAAGCGATTTCCTACCTTCAGATCTTCACTCTTAACTTTCCTTACTCTGATGCGCCTCCCATTACTGTGAACCACTCGCCACTTGTAGCAGGTGCTGGGCTGCACCTCACTGCTGGTAGCCGTTGCTGCCTCCCCAACTACAGCCTCCTCACAGCGAGAGACAGACTGCACCTCACTGCTAGAAGCCTCATTCCCCACAACTCCAGCCACCTCACACTCTCTCCCAGACCCATTGAGGTGGACCTTCAGCCTCCTAATCTCCTCCTGGAGAAGCAAGACCTCCTCCTTCAACTCTCCAACCTCAATTTTTAAAACACTGCAGAAGCAAGCCATGCTTTGTAACCGTCCACGCTAATCCCCAAAGCAGCTCAGGGTCTGTCACAATAATATGTGACTTAGTACACTACACACACCTCATACATGTAAAATGTCTTTACACAAAAACAAAGGAAAACTGTGCAAGCAATACTAATTAAAAACTATTCTCAATTACCCCTTAATATCAGCAATATACAAATTAATTAAGTACATGTAATAAAATATATTTGAGCAATACACCCAGAACCTCCCCTCCCCCCTCCCCCTCCCCCTCCCCCTCTCCCCCTCCCCCTTCCCCCCTCCCCCTCTCCCCTCCCCCTCCCCCCTCCCCT